GCACACCTCGTGCCCCCCTCCTCCATCCCCCCATCACGCACCATCCAAGGCTGGTCCTTCACCGCCTCCTTCTCCTCCCTCCTTAGGTGCTGGGCCTTGCACGCCCCTTGCACGCCCCTTCCACGCCCCTTTGCACGCCCCTTGCACACCCCCTTGCACGCCCCTTGAACACTCCTCACACCTTCTGCATGCTCATGTCTCCGTGGTGACACTATCCTCGTCCCCCCCAGGGTGTGGGTGTGATGTTCAGGGCGTCTGCTCACCCTTGCACGCCACTTACACACAATTATACACCCTTGCACGCCCCTGTGACCGTGTCCCTGTCCCCCCCAGGGTGCGGGTGTGATGTGGGTGTACCTGTTCACCCTCGCACACCCAGTCCCTGTCCCTCATCCACCCCATCCCTGTCCCTCATGGGGCACAGGGGTGATGTTGGGGTCCCTGGACGCCCTTGCACGCCCTTGCACGCCCCCGTGACGGCGTCCCCGTCCCCCCCAGGGCACGGGCGTGATGTCCTTGTACCTGTTCACCCTCACACACCCTGTCCCCATCCCTTGTCCACCCTGTCTCCATCATGGGGGTGATGTTCACCCTCGCACATCCCGTCCCTGTCCCTCATGGGGCACGGGGGTGATGTTGGGGTGCCTGGACACCCTTGCACACCCTCGCACACCGTTGCACGCCCCCGTGACCGTGTCCCTGTCCCCCCGAACGCACAGGTGTGATGTGGGTGTACCTGTTCCCCATCACACACCCCATCCCTGTCCCTTGCCCACCCCGTCTCCATCACGGGTGTGATGTTGGGGTACCTGGACGCCCTTGCACACCCTTGCACGCCCTCGGACACCCTTGCACGCCCCCGTGACCGTGTCCCTGCCCCCCCGAACGCACAGGTGTGATGTGGGTGTACCTGTTCCCCATCACACACCCCATCCCTGTCCCTCATGGGGCACAGGGGTGATGTTGGGGTCCCTGGACGCCCTTGCACGCCCTTGCACGCCCTTGCACGCCCCCGTGACGGCGTCCCCGTCCCCCCCAGGGCACGGGCGTGATGTCCTTGTACCTGTTCACCCTCACACACCCTGTCCCCATCCCTTGTCCACCCTGTCTCCATCATGGGGGTGATGTTCACCCTCGCACATCCCGTCCCTGTCCCTCATGGGGCACGGGGGTGATGTTGGGGTGCCTGGACACCCTTGCACACCCTCGCACACCGTTGCACGCCCCCGTGACCGTGTCCCTGTCCCCCCCAGGGCACAGACGTGATGTCGGTGTACCTGTTCACCCTCACCCACTCTGTCCCCATCCCTCGTCCACCCCGTCCCTGTCCCTTGCCCACCCCGTCTCCATCACGGGTGTGATGTTGGGGTACCTGGACGCCCTTGCACACCCTTGCACGCCCTCGGACACCCTTGCACGCCCCCGTGACCGTGTCCCTGCCCCCCCGAACGCACAGGTGTGATGTGGGTGTACCTGTCCCCCATCACACACCCCGTCCCTGTCCCTTGCCCACCTCATCTCCATCACGGGGATGATGTTGGGGTACCTGGACACCTTTGCACACCCTTGCACACCCTTGCACGCCCCCATGACTGTGTCCCCATTCGCCCCAGGGCGCGGGCATGATGTCAGTGTACATGTTCCCCCTTGCACACCCCATCCCTGTCCTTCACGGGGCACGGGGGTGATGTTGGGGTGCCTGGACACCCTCGCACACCCTTGCACGCCCTCGCACGCCCCTGTGACCGTGTCCCTGCCCCCCCGAACGCACAGGTGTGATGTGGGTGTACCTGTCCCCCATCACACACCCCGTCCCTGTCCCTTGCCCACCTCATCTCCATCACGGGGATGATGTTGGGGTACCTGGACACCTTTGCACACCCTTGCACACCCTTGCACGCCCCCATGACTGTGTCCCCATTCCCCCCAGGGCGCGGGCATGATGTCAGTGTACATGTTCACCCTTGCACACCCCATCCCTGTCCTTCACGGGGCACGGGGGTGATGTTGGGGTGTCTGGACACCCTCGCACGCCCTCGCACGCCCTCGCACGCCCCCGTGACCGTGTCCCCGTCCCCTCACCCCGTCCCTGTCCCTCATGGGGCATGGGGGTGATGTTGGGGTGTCTGGACGCCCTCGCACGCCCTCGCACGCCCCCGTGACCGTGTCCCCGTCCCCCCCAGGGCGCGGGCGTGATGTCGGTGTACCTGTTCACCAAGCGTTACGCGGAGGAGGAGCTGTACCGGGCGCCGTCGGGGCTGCTGCGGCCGCGGCTGAGCGCCTGCTCGGGGCTGTCGGGGCAGTTCCTGCAGCCGCGGGGGTGGCCCCGGCCCCGCTCCCCCTCCGAGGCCTCCTCCGACGTCTCCATCCAGATGACCCAGAACTACCCCCCCGCCATCAAGTACCCCCAGCACGGGCACCTCTCCACCTCCCCCTGCTAGGGGGGGAC